CTCACAGAAAGAACAGACGTAGGTGTGTGAGGTGGCCTCACCGGGCTCTCTGTCCTCCCCATGTCCTCTGGGGCTTGAAAGTAGGTATTTAGAAGCACAGCAGGTATCTAGCCTACCCAGCTTGGGTAAGACTGAGCCAGCCGAGACTGAGCCAGCCAGGAGCAGGGTCCTCGCCTCCTCCTTCCTTCCCGTCACACAAAAGACAAGGTCCCTGTGGGTGCTAGTATGTCTCAGAGAACTCGTCTTTATAATACTGAGACAGTAGGGCCCGGGTCCAGGCCTGGGCAGGCAACAGCACCTGGCTGGAATGTCAACGCCATGCCCTCCTTAGAGTTTGGAAATGGCTACCTTCTACGCGAATCTGTAGTAAGTGATGATTCCTTCCAAATTGCTCTCAGGATAAAACATTTCCTTTTAAAACAAATGTTTAGAACTACGTAAAGTGCGTTGATTTGAAGGGAATTACTAAGAAAGATCGGTTCCATGTATTCACATATGGAAAGCTGAAAATGAAATATGGAAAGCTAGTTATAAAAATGGAATATGTCTAGCAGATTTGGGGGAAACTTGCTGATAGAGAAAGAAGTAGACTTAGAATCACTGACTCAGACTGAGATCACAGCTCTGCCTTCTCTGGCCGGCGGTTTCCCCTTGAGTATAATGGCGGTGTTGTGGGGCAGGGGAGGGGAGAGGGGAGCGGGTGGTATTATCCTCCTTAGGGAAGGCCCCCTGTCCAGTGCCCAGGCCTCTTCAGAGGCAGGCAGAAGTCTCAGGGGTGTGTCTTGAGGGCCGCTTCTCCCACCTGCAGCCTCTCCAGCAGCATGCAGTCCCTGTCCTCGGGCAGCAGCCCTGGCTCCCTCGCGTCCAGCCGCGGCTCCCTGGCCGCCTCCAGCCTGGACTCCTCAGCCTCAGCCAGCTTCACCGACCTCTACTACGACCCCTTCGAGCCGCTGGACTCGGAGCTGCAGAACAAGGTGGAGCTCCTCCTGGAGGGCACCACGGGCTTCCGGCCCTCCGGTTGCATCACCACCATCCACGAGGACGAAGTGGCCAAGACCCAGAAGGTGGAGGCGTGTGGCCGCCTGCAGGCCCTGCGCTCCCTGTCTGGCACCCCCAAGTCCATGACCTCCCTGTCCCCCCGCTCCTCCCTGTCCTCCCCTTCCCCACCCTGCTCCCCTCTCATCGCTGACACCCTCCTGGCTGGAGACGCCTTCCTGAGCTCGCTGGAGTTTGAAGACCCCGAGTTGAGTGCCACCCTTTGTGAACTGAGCCTTGGCAGTGGCACCGGGGAGAGATACCGGCTGGAGGAGCCGGGAACCGACAGCAAACAGCTGGGCCAAGGTAGAGCATCACGCCCGGAGGCTGGGAGACCAGGAGGAGGGAAAGGAATGTAGACACGTCTAAGTGGAGACATCCCCCCCTGATAACTATGGCCTGATAACACTTTCTGGGTGCCAGATTAATTCGTTTACTTATTCAGTATATATTTATGTTGTAATTAACTCTGCTCTGGAAGGCACCCAGGTAGCAGTGTGGGTTAGGCATCTGGCTGCTAACCCCAAGGCTGGCAGTTCAAGCCCACCAGTCTCTCCTCAGAAGAAAGATGAGGCTGTCTGCTCCGATACAGATTTACAGTGCTGGAAACCCTGTATAGGATTGCTGTGAGTTGGAATTGACTCGATGCCATTGGAGTTGTTTGGTTTGGTTATGTGTGTGTGCCATGGGAGGAGATTCCCTGGTAGTGCAAATGGCTTGGGCTTAACTATGACACTAAAGGTTGGCAGTTCAAACCCACTTGGTGGTGCTGTAGCACAAAGTCTGGTAATTTGCATCCATAGGGACTGTAGCTTGGCAGCCCCATGGAGTAGGGCCCCAAGACGGAAAACCCACTCAGCAGCAACAGGTTTGCTTTGGGGTCTTCATGTGCCATGGGGACACTGGGGGCTCTGTGGCAGACCTTTCCCACCTCCCCTGCAGAAGAGCTTGGTCCGTTTCCAGCAGTGCACCCAGCGCACAACCACCAGCAGTCTGTCAGGGTGGTGGGGGTGTGGGAAGTAGCGCCACATCTGCGATTATCTCAGCAGAGCTCCTGCACCAGGAAGGAAAGCCTGGCCCTCAGTGTCCAAAGCTCGGCCACGGCAAGCCCCGTGGACCACAGCCAGTGCAGGTCCAAGTCACAGTGGTTAGGGCGCATCATGGGCCAAATTTCTTGTGGGGTCACCAGAAGCCAGGGGCCCAACTTGATGGCAGCTAGCCCAGCCATGTGTGTCAGTCCCATGCTAAGTGGTCTTCACAGTGGCTTCATTCATGCATTCAACAGAGTTCTGTGCCAGGTGCCAGCGCCTGTGCTGAGACATGGGCCTGGATTCATCCGTTCAGCCCACAAGCATGGCATCAGTCACTAGAGATGTGGTGGTGAAAGGAGGGGCCTGTTCCCAGGAAGCCTGACCCATAGTGAAGGGAATAGAGTCAGGAAGGTGATGGGGGTGGGGGACAGGACCGCCAGTCCAGGTCGGGACTGTGAGGACTGGTGACCTCTGAGGTCAGGCATGATGGTGAGCAGGAGTTGGCCTGGTAAAAGGGACCCCTGGGAGCCAGGAGTCAGAAGTGGGAGTTTCCCAGCAAAGCTGGGGACCAGGGGTAGTGTCTGGGACGCAGATGGCCTCGTGGCCATGGCAGAGGCTTGGCTTCTGTGCTCATTGAGCAATGCTGCGATCTGACTCACCTTGCGGGGTCACAAAGAAAGTCCCTGTTTTCATTGGATCCGAGTCGGGATCTTCCAAAGACAACCCCATGCTGAGATTGGTTAGGGGGCACACTCCATCTGTGGGGGCCACCCACAGCATAGTGAGCCGTCCTGAGGAATATGGGCCAGGGGTGACTGGTGTGAGGGGGTATGCTTCCAAACGCTCTGCATGGTGAGGTAGTTCATTCTGTTATGCCCATTTCACAGATGGGGAAACAAAGGTTCCGAGAGTTGGCAGCCCTTCCCCTAAGTTGGCCGGCAACAAGGGAGAAGCAGGGGTGAGAATGGAGCCCAGATCTTCCTGACCCCAGAGCCCACCCCTTTGTCACCATGCTCTCCTCTGAGGGGCCAGGTAGCTCTTGTGTGGTCACTCTGCTACTGCTCCTGCCTGCCAAGCACGTCTCCCCTCGGGTACAGGGGCCATGGTGGAGGAGAATGCTGGGTGAGCCCACCTGGGGGTTCCTGGTCTCCTGGCATGTCTGAGAACAGTACACTCCAAAGCCGCTGCCAGAGGAGACTGACTCAGAGGGACCCTGTGGGCAGAGTAGAACTGATCTGCAGGGTGTCCAGGATGTGAATCTCTATAGGAGTAGAGCAGCCTCTTCCCTCTCCCACGGAACCTCCTTCCTGTGAGGCCGGTGTTGGTTTTCCTCCGTGGCACAGATGCAGAGAATGAGGCCCAGCGAGGGTGCCGGGTGGTCCGAAGGTGAGCCCCATCGCTCTGCCAGGAAGGATGCTGGGCCAGCCAGACCACAATTTGCACCGCACTGTTTGCCCTCCTCTCTGCGGGCGCCTAGATGAAGCCAGGCACATCCTAGCCTACGGCTTTCAGAATGGACAGGAGCAGGGCTGCTGTGCCCGGAATCATGGTCCCTGTGCGCGAGGGCGTGTGGGAGGCAGGGGCACAGCAGCCCCTAGTCCATCACAGGCTCGGCTGGATGACCACCAGCCATTGCCACCCAGAGGAGCTGGGGAGATCCCCGGAGTTCCCTCCTCAGGAAGGGAATCCATGACTGAGTGCACTCAGACAATGAAAACAGGCTTCCCGAGACAGCCGGCGGGAACCTTCCCACCACATTCCCCAGAGAGGGGGCTGCCGGTGGGAAACCTAAGGAGGTTCAAGAGCCGTTTGGGATGCTCCATGGCTCTCGGGGATGCTCACAGCCAGCTGCCTCCTGAAGAGGGTCCCTGCCCTCTCCCTCCGTGTGGTGTATGTGGACAGAGATTGAACAGCTGGCTGGGCCCAGCCTGTCACCTCAGGGTGGCGTTGCCCTCGTGGTCCCCAGAAGGCTTGGCTGCGGCATTAAGCAGGTTAAGCAATTAGTGCCGTTATTCAGTCGCCAGACAAATTAATCTCCTTAAGTGGTTTAGTGGAGGGTGGAGCTGCGTGGGTCTATAGGCGGAGGTCTCAGCCGTCCTCTGCAGGCAGGCGTGGGGCTTAGGCTGGGAAAGCCATTTCCACATGGCCTCCAGCACCGCCGTCTTCTCCCAGCCTGCCTGGGCCTGGGCTGGGGGCTCTGTGGCCCCTGAGGGCCCTTGCCCTACCTCCTTCTGGCCCTGTGTGTGCTCCTGTGTTTGTGCCTGGCGGTTGGCCCACCTGCGCTTCCCCTCTGCACAGAGGCAGGAGCTGGCTTCGCATCCCTGGAGCAGGCGCCCCCGGGCTATTCAATGCCCTGCTGTGGCTGATCCCACCCCACAGAGCAGAAGACTCCATTGAGTGTCCGAGGCTGTAATCTTGACTGAGGGATCACCAGGGCTTTCCACCAGGGAGTGGTTAGTGGGTTTGAACTGCTTGCCTTTCGGGTAGCAGCCAAGTGCTTAACCATTGCACCACCAGGCTTCCTTAGGTGCCCTTGCGGGCTCATTGTTTGGGAAGGCAGGCAGGTATGTGTGACGTGTGCCCAGGTCTGGGTAGGAGTTGGGGCAGAGGCTTTCCGGGGTCTCCATTAAGGACAGGGGAGAGGAGGCAAAGGATGAGGAGTGGTTCAGGATAGGCTGAGGGGACAGCAAATGCTTGCACCTTTTCCTTTTCTCTGCTTGCCCTTCCTAAGGGCTTACCCAACCCTGCCCAAAGTCTGTCCTGACTCACAGCACCCCACACCGGGTCCCAGGACTGTTGGTGTGGGAGCAGGGGCTTCCTCGTGATATGCAGAGCAACTGACAGGCTGGAACCACCAACCCGGAAAGCCGCAGCCCATACACAGCACCAACAGGGTCCCTTCCCAAGGCTCTTGTTCTTCCCCAGTGTGGGGGATGGACCTAGAAAGTGTGTGGGGATCCAGCAGTGTGGGGAAGGCTCTAGAAGGTGTGTGGGGACCCAGGAGTGTGGGGAAGGCTCTTGAAGATATGTGGGGACCCAGGAGTGTGGGGAAGGCTCT